TTGTTTTGATTTTATATGCAAGCTTAACCTCCCTAATTCTCTTATGTGAATACTTCGACTTGTTTAAGTAACGTGATATATATCCATTATTCCTTACTGAGTTTTTTGCATCATTGTATATGGTTTTGATCCATTTTCTGAGATCTGGTCCGAAATTGAAGTATTCGAGGGTGTGATCATTGCATTTCCATTCCACTGTGTCAAATGCCTTTTCAAAGTCCATTAAAAGCATTATGCTTGATTAATTATTAGGTGTACCATAAGTCTATGATAAGTCTAACAACAATTTGGCTAAAAAGGTGGCATTTCCATAGATGGCGGCTAGCTATTTCCAAAAATGACAATCACTGCTGTTCAATGGGATTTGCTACGCATTTGCGTTGCTATTGTCTTGATTTGAGTACTGGTAAAATAAAATGAAATGCTTCTCTTTATCTTAATTTCTTAGATATTGGAAAAGTCATTTTGATTCCATTTTAACAAACATTTTGATTGTGCAATAGGGTTTGGGCACGATTGATTTATTAATAAGTATAACCGGGTAAGGACATTTCAATTTCTCAACGAGGAATGACTTCATGTCAGGAATTGACAGAGCTTTAACTAGGAAATGTTTTGAATGCTGAGAAATTTTCAGTATAATGGGGAATCTAGCATGGTGATTCATATTTTAATTTTGATTATTTTACTTTACTTAAATTGTGTTATTTAGTTCAGACTGTGACTGGTCAAAATGCCATGTATCAGAGCTGATTCAGACCTTAAAATGGCCAAGCCTAAGAGGCTAATGCCTCAGTCATAATTGATCTCTGGCAACCAGGAGGCAGCCGAAGCTTCTCAAAATTGAGAGAAATAAGCAGCATAAAATATAAGGATAGGCAGTATAATGTAGATTTTCTGTATCGATTTTGTGAAGCTACAGCTGCCATATGGCCGCTATATTGCAAATTTGACAGAGGCTTTAGACCCCTTAATGAATTGTATGTTATCGCCACCAAGTAGTGGCTTATTGTTATAGCGCCATCATTTTTAGTGACTTCCCTTTGGCATTGTGCCGCCATTGGTATCTGTAACAAATTTTTATTACACTTTTATTGTCATAGCAACCAGGTGATGTCATGTCTCTATGTTTCATTACTATGGTATTAGAATTATCCTGAATCCCTGTATATTCGATTTCCTCAAATTCTCCCTTGGTAATGACAAGAGGCCACAGGTTTAAACATTTGCGTGTAAAATATTAATTTATTTTTCGATATTATGGTATTGCACTTGACTGCCTATTTTTGGGGTTTATTGACGTCACTACCCAATATTGAAATGGACTATAAATGCCAGAGATATTACATGCATTATTTATGTCATTAAAAAGAAATATATATTTTAATGACAGTGCTTTTACTTATTCATTGACACATTCATGCCACATTCATGCCACATACTGAGTATATAATGATTGATTATAACATTTATTGTTTCGTTGCATGTGTATGCTGTTTTGTTCTCCATTTAGTGCCATTACATAATTAATTGGAGCATCAAAAATAGCTTGTGTGCAAACTGATATCCTCCTCATTATTTTTTGTTTTTTTGATGTTTGGTCTCAACGGTAACAAAGTGAAATGGATTTTCACAGTTTCGATTGAACCAAATGGCATTTTAAGTATACATAACAGCCTTTTGAGCTGATGAAACAGCACTTATACCAACTAAATAAAAATGGTGACGTTTAGAATTTGATATAGAACATGTGAGATGGTGGCTGTATGTGAAGAATTATGATAGTAATAAATAGTAGGCAGAATTTACTTCTTTTCCTTTTAATATGACGAGTCATAATAAAGTGATTACGTCATTGCATGTGTACACTATTTAATTCTATATTATGCACTATTAGATAAGTAAAAGGAAAGGTTTTGAGGCCAGAATATACTTGGTTTCCTGTTATTCTTTGATAGTTCCTACTGAGGTAATTCATTACAGCAGAATTTGATTGAAAATAGTTCAAATGGTATCTTGAAAATCTATTTTTATTCTATATTCAATGAAAGTATTTTCTGACTTTTGGAGCACCCTGTACTTACGAAACACCCTGTATATAATATTTAACTTTCCCATTGTAACTCTGTATGCTTATTACCCTCTATTACTACCCTTGCCCATCAACTTCTCGCTCACTGCCTCCCATCCTATAACCACTACCCTCAACTAGAAGTCTGTTTTGGGGGTTAAGGTACATAACAGAGAAGAGCTTGATGCATATAAACTTTTTTTATCCTTTATCTCATTTCCGAAAGAGCTTCATCAGATAACTGTAACATCGTTCTATGTACATCTTATGGAGAAACAATCATGATGGTCATATTTTAAAATGGAAAATACAATATAAAGTTGTGGATTAAGCAGGAAATAAAATTGATGGACATTAGAAATATTCTAATTTGTATTGAAATGCTAGAAAATCAGGTACTGTACTTCATTCAAATTTTATAGAGAAAAACCAAGGAATGGACATGACTGCCATAACAAAATAACAGGATAATGACATTTTGGATTATTTATAGTAACCTAACCCATTATCCTAACCAAGTAACCCACTATCCTCTTTATTGCCTACATAATGTTTTTTTATACTCTCCCTCAGTAAAAATGTCTCTCTGTTCGCTAATTATTCACTATTTCTAATATATATGAGTGACGTTTGTGAATTTATTTCATAACTGAACAATTTTAGAGTTTTGAGTTATGGATTGATTCATCTCTATTGTTGATAATTGACTATTTTATTCTACTATTCTGAGGTTTGAAAAAATGGCCGACCATTTTGCTGCACAGTTCTGTCTGGGAGACCTATTTATAAGTTTTTCCAAGAATATTTTTATGCCCAAATATGAATCTGAATGAATCATAAAAAACGAGTTAATGTTCATCTCGGCTATATTTTTCCATATGTAATGTCTGAGTATATTTGCATGTATATAAAAAGATAGAATATGACTGAGTAGATTTAATGCAATTGAATAAAATAAGCCACTAAGTACTCAATGCTCCAAAGTCTAAAGAAATGTAAGAAATTAAGCGAATTGTTGAAAATAGTCGAGGTCTTAATATTTTAAGTTTTGCAGTGTTTGTATCTTCTGATAATTAGTTAGGAGAACTCTGCATATTATTGTATAATGAAGTTATAACCTTAAATGATCTTAAAAAGGTGGTAATTTTAGGGATTGAATAATGAAAAGTGACATGGTGGTTTTTCTCGTTGCTGACACTTTCTTGGAAAAATTACTTTCATTGATTCTTTACATTGTTTCTGTTTTAAGTCAGCCTTCAAGAGACACTGAACTTGCACAATATTGTTGTCATTAGTAAGAAATGATGTCATTAGTAAGAAATGGTGTCATTAGCAGACAGGAATCATGCAGTTTGCTCTGGTTGTGTTTACAGTCGAATATTGTTTTGAGGAATTTGACATCCATTTCCATATTAAATTATAATTTCTAATACTTTGTGCCAATCTGTTTCCATGTTGTTCGAATTTCTAATGAAACTGCTGAGCTGGGCTAATGGTGGTTTTGTTGTCGAGTTCCTTCTATTTAACTGATTATCTGTCTATTCCATGAGGAATAAAGTAATGATTTCCGAATTACTGTTATTGAGCTCTATACGCCCTGTTCTGCTGTCATTGATTGAAGTTTGTTAACCTCATTGTTGACAAAGAGTTTTATAAGTGTAAATTAAGTACTAGATTGACATCATATATCTAATCTCATTTCTTCCCTGTCTTGTTACAAGTTCATAAACCAAGATATGTAATGAGTATCAGAGAGATGTATAAAGAAAGCTTAATAAAGATAGATATAAAAGAATCATATGTTTAAAAGGGTTTTCCACCAATGTTGATATATAGAGTTGTTAAAGTGCAAGTTAAGTACAAGAAGCCATTCTGGTATGCCAGAGCCCCTCTTATCTGCCGTTTGCGATCACTTTGGAAGGATAAAGACAAGGGGGGCGCGGCTATTGCGATGACAAGAAGCCATCATGAAGTAAATGATAGAACTGCTTGCCTACAGTCTGATACTAATCACTTCTTTCTGTTTTTCAAGTGTTTGTATGGATGGTGATCAGTGGTTGGCAGTCAGATCTGTAACAAATGGCATGTTGAATTGCCTTGTTAAGTTATTAGATAATTTTGATTTCAACATTATGTGTTATCATTCACATTTAAATGTGACATTTGTAATATAGAAGGTTATATAAACAAATAATTAAAATTGAGTTATCTGAAATAAATTAGTATTTTATTTTGTGTACTTTAGTTAATAGGTTCCATCATATAGGTTAGATAAAGGTCAAATAAATGATAAGATGAAATGAACAAGTACTGACTTTTAATAGAAATGTTGCATTATCTCAGTTGAAGTAGTGCCATCAAATACTAATACATAGACAGTGTCATAAATGAACGAGTACTGACTTCTATTTTAAACTTTAGGTTTAATTTTGCAATTGTATCTCAAAGTAAAACTGCTTAAAAGAAATGTTGCATTATCTCAGTTGAAGTAGTGCAATCAAATACTAATACATAAACAGTGTCATAAATGAACGAGTACTGACTTCTATTTTAAACTTTAGGTTGAATTTTGCAATTGTATCTCAAAGTAAAACTGCTTAAAAGAAATGTTGCATTATCTCAGTTAAAGTAGTGCCATCAAATACTAATACATGAACAGTGTCATAATTACTAGGCCAATGCTCATGCTAAGATCTTGGACAAAATGAAATATTAGGGAAAATAAATATTTGTGTCCATTACAAAAATTGTTCTATATTTTATATCTGTACAATTATTAACGACTAACTTCTTTGACATTGGAAAATAATTAAACAGGTGTTAGAAAAGTATTTTGTAATCCTTTACTTGTTCAATATAGCTTAGTAAAACCTTTTTTGAATGAAATAAAATTTACAAAAAATTCAATTATTTATTTTTATATTTTCAGCCAGTAGGATTCATGGACTGTGCCATAGCTTACAGCACTATAGAGGAAGCTAACATTATATCACGCTGGGATGCTGGACAAAAATTCTGTATACGGGTCACGATACCAGATGGTTCAGTCCTTTTACAAGTAAGTTTTTTTTATCTCACTTTAAAAAGTGTAACATTGTTGTCTTCTTGCGCTCCTCAAAGTGTGATATCTATGAGCGTATTTTTTGTTTGAACTAAATATTGATTTTTGTTACTCAAGTTGCCAAAGTCTTTCTTGGAATAGTCAGGATTGTGTTTATTAGAGTGTGTGTATCTATTAGAGAGAATACGGTAAAAGGAATTGATAAAATATCAAATCTGGTGAATCGACTGGTATTGCATACATGTATGTAGTAATAGTATAACATGATCATATCACCAAGTACGTCATTTGTTTTTGTCTAACGTCAATGACAATACAGAACCAATAGTGCCAAAGAATTGATGATTTGCGATCACCGAATCGGCATATCCGGTAAATATCCGACCCATGGTTTTCATAAAAGAAACAACAATATTTTTTGCTCAAAACTGCCAAGTGTCCGCCATTTGTGATTCCATCATGTCTAATATCATTTCTATATGACGTCACACCAATAAGACGAAATACATGACAACAGTATCCATAAACAAAATTCCTGAATTCTGATCGCAAAAGGTCAATTAAAACCATCTATTCAAAATACTTAGATTATAGCAGAAAAACACAGAAACTGCCAGGTAGTAAACTACCAAGAAACAACACTATATAATTATCAATATAATTGAACAGTTTTTTCAAATAAATAAAGATAAAAACATATAACATATAATACCATTATGATTATTTTTTCATATGATAATACTGGATTTAATAATATATTCATAAGGTTTCACTTGAATCACACCTTTTCATTAAAACTGCACCTACATCCTGCTTATGTAAGTATCATATAACAGAATATTACTTTACATATCAGGATGTTACAAATGAGAAGCGGAAATACTGCACGTTGCAATAATGATATACACACCTTTCATATACCCCCACACACTTGCAGTGTCCATCTTATAGGCATTAACATTCAAAATATCACAACCTGCCATTTGTTACAAACATTGAACACCAAATGCAGACCACCGAACACCAATTGCCAGCCAGACACTGGTGACAAAAAATTGAGACTAACAATATGTCACCACTTCTGGTGGTGACATAGGTTTATCCCACTCATTTCTTTCTAAAACTGAATTGAATTGATTTCTCGATAATTTAGAGTATAACCTTCATATGTTTATTCTTTTTCCTAGAATCAAGTTCAGTGGAGATATAGTAAAGTCCTTTTGTCTTTCATCTCAATCTTAATTTGATTTTAATTGTTCTTTTAGGCAAATAACAGCTATCTCAGAGACCAGTGGCTACATTCAATAGTATGGAAGGTAAGTGTGATTTTATCCATTAATTATTACAATTAAAGTAGATATCATTGTTTGCAGTGGTGTGTCACTTTATTAATTTGATGGACTTCCAATAAACATGATTAAGTAAAGAGTAAAAGAAATGGCTCGATGTCTCTTAAAAGTCCCTGGTTAACTGTAATTAAATTTCTAAAAAATGAATAAAAAATTGATACTGAATTATTTTTGAACCCAATCCCAGCTCTATACTCAAAAACAAGATGTAAGCAAAAACCTAGACAAAAATAATTAATATAATAAATATAATATAATATATGATGTATCACAAAACAAATGTTATCCTGATACAAGAAGACTATTGTATATGATGAATAGTTCGGAAAGAGGCTTTAAGAGGAAATGTTTAACTGAAGTGAAGAATTTATATTAAGACAATGTGCATGGTAACTTATAATCTATTATGGCATCGTGTTACTTACAGCATCTTTCTGCTTTACCAGAAATATTTCAAGGCTGAGAAAAAATTAGATGTAATGGATTATCACAATGATACGAGCCAAATTCATTAAAATCTTTTTGAATAAGAATAAAAATTTCTAGACTTATGGGACAACCCTCGTATAATATTAATTCGTGTTTAACCATTTACAAATTAATCTTCGTCCACATGAGCTGAGAATTGACACCTAGGGGCTTGCTTACCACACTCAGGTAACAATTAGTCACTCAGCTGTTATGAAAACAACATGTTAAGTAAGTGCTCATATAGTGCACTAGTGGTCCTTGACGTAGAGAATGTGTAATTAAATAAGAATATGAGAAATTAGTAGCTTGAGATCCTGTCCTAGGTGTCATTAAAAATCTTTAACATGTGATTTTCTCAGGTTGTTTTGAACAAAACACACATATTTGTAACCATTTGCAAAATTTTGTCAGAAATTCTCATGAAACCTTTGTAATTGTGGGTGCCGTAACTTTGATAAGTCGAAAAATGGGTTTACTCTGTCTGATTTTTATTCAGATAATGAAAATGGGAGCTCTGCACCAACTTATGCAGTAATTTTTGGGAGAATGATTTGTAGTAGTGGTCCTATGGTTTAGAATGCTGAGAAAATCTGTATTCTTTAGATCTGAAGTGTGAAATCCTGTCCAGTTGTAAATAGATTGGAATAAATAGCAACTCTATTTATAATGATGATATATTACAAAAAATACTGCGTGATTGTGATTTGCGTCACACAACATTAGTAAATGGCCTTGTAGTGCTGTCCCTAGGTCTGATTTCGTTACTCGGCTCGGAAAAAAGGTTTGTGGGTATCATTTTGTTCCAGACACTCTCTAGAATAAATTCATCTTGGGTGGAGTAAAAATGTGTGGTAAACGAATTTGCTATGGGCAGTTAAAGAGGCGCCATCTATTCATTTTCAAACAGGGGGTAGGGGTATAAAATAATTTTTTAAACACATTTTAATAGTAAAATGACATTGAAATACTAATAAAATCTTATCAAAAACATTATTTACAATCAGTATGAATTTTCTTGTGTGGATTAGGGTGAAAATAAGGGCATATCTTGAAATTCACTACAGGGGCGCCACCTATTTTGGTACTTCTACCACGTGTAATAACTTATTTTAGATTCGTTAAGGTACGAAATGAAAATGAAAGGTACTGAAAAAATTCATTCTGAAGGACCTATATATGTTCATACCACATACTTAAAATTAGATCAATAGCTTATGTACCGGCGGAGAAAAAAATTATTGAAATTTAAAATTGTGGTATCATGCAGGATAGGGGTGACCATATCTCACATTATTAACTTCCAAAATATGGAGCATATGTATGTCAAATGTGCTCAAACTGTTGTATGTACTCTTGCTTTGTCATAATATTACTAATAAGAAGTAGAAAAATGATTGTACATTTTAGAAATTATTAATTCTCAATTTGGCTTCTGACGTCCCAGGGGTGACCATATCTCACCTTTATAACTTCCAAAATATGGAGCATATGTATCTCAAATGTGGTCAAAATGGTGTATGTACTCTTGCTTTGTCATAATATTAGTAATAAGAAGTAAGAAAATGATTGTACATTTAAAAAAATATTAATTCTCATTTTGGCTTCTGACGTCCCAGGGGTGACCATATGTCACCTTAATAACTTCCAAAATATTGAGCATATGTATCTCAAATGTGCTCAAAATGGTGTATGTACTCTTTCTTTGTCATAATATTAGTAATAAGAAGTAGAAAAATGATTGTACATTTTAGAAATTATTAATTCTCATTTTGGCTTCTGACGTCCCAGGGGTGACCATATCTCACCTTAATAACTTCCAAAATATGGAGCATATGTATCTCAAATGTACTCAAAATGGTGTATGTACTCTTGCTTTGTCATAATATTATACTAATAAGATGTGGGAATATGATTATACATTTAAAACATTTTAATTTTAGCTTCTTACGTTCCTGGGTAATCATATCGCAACATATAATAATAATAATAACTTCTAAGATATGTAACATATATGCCTCAAATATTCTCAGAAAAGTCTTGTCTCTCATATTACTAATGAAATGTAGAAAAATGATTGCATTTTTTAAAAAATTTTAATTTTAGCCTCTGGTGTCCCACCTTGATAACTCTCACGATATGCAACTTATGCATCTCAAATGTGTGCTCAAAATGGTATAAATATAGTCTTGTTTTGTCATATTTATTTAGAATCATAAAATCAACAGTTCAGAATCAATGGATTTTGACTGTCTCCTCTACAGCTACATATAATTCAGGGCAAATAATATCTGCTTTCAAATATTTGCATCTGCTCCCCAAACACCCCTTACAGGTACAATGGATGAGATTATTCCCTTGCATAACTTGGACCAAACATCTTTTGTAATCCATACAGGAATCTTTTTAGCCTATCAATAGTGGGAGTACTTTACTCCATTTATGAAGTAATGGCAAATGTTGATAAGGTGTTAATATGTTATCCTGTGGCCTGCAATATATGCACCTTGGATCATACACTGAATTAAGGGATTTTGAGTATGTAAAATACGGGAAAAGGAGCTCTTTGTAATGATAAATCTTTCTAGCCATATTCTCTAGTTTTCATGTTTGTCATACAACATACATTGATTGTATTGAAATATTAATTTATGATTGTGACGTCCCGCACTTCTAGGGTCCCAGAGAAGAGCTTAGCTTTTGGAACACTTGCATTACTCTTGGCATGATAGGCCATACAGTGAATACAATTGTTGAGATGGGGCAAGAACAATATAGCACATTCGACAAAAGGCAACTTGAAAACCTAACAGTACCATTTGATAGAACCATATCCAGGAACAAAGTTCTTCAGTTTATTAGGCCTCCAAAACCTCCATTCATAACAGATTATGGAAAACTATAGTTCCTCCATTAAATTAAATTTTGAATGACCATGCCAAAAATTAGATCATTAACATGCATATGCTAAAACCCAACAGTGAAAATATGCAGAACATGAACATAAATGATTGTGCAAATTAAGTAATATTTCTTCCCCACATATAAAACATAGAAATGGAACAAGGGAGAAGGTATATCATACTAATTCTCTTGTAAATTTCCTAAGATGTGCCAAGAACAAGAGTGATCTGTTTTCCTTCCAGACATCAAAACTTTATGCTAAAAAAACTGAAAGTGTCAATTTGGATTGCATACTGAAAGAGGAAATCTTATCAGTATGTACCTTCCCATGTTATTATTGCAGAATATGGCCATGGCAAAACTTTAGCCCTTTCCTTATGCAATCATTGCATGTGATGCCATATCTGCATTCTAATACTGTTCTAAATCATCCGATTTCCGATCTGGATTTCTTCTGATACATGTACCATAGAATGAGACATTGCAGTTATAAAGTCATTTGTAATTCTGATATATGACAAAACATGCAAACGAGAGAATGTCAATTGGGATTAGAAGTGACTTATCGCCCTTGTAATTTAGCAGTGGGACAGTTTGGTGTATGTTTGGGCATAAATGCGCCTTTAAGGCCTAATTTTTCAGGATATTTTCAAAATTTCGGGTCAGATTTGGGGTTAAGGGGCCAATTTTGGTAAAAGAGGCTAGGCTACTCACACTACTGATAGGCTACCAGTATACAAAAGATGTTGCATCCAAGGCATGCAAAAGACTTATCGTCCATTGTTCCTGTAATATAAGGAGTGTTTGGGGAGAAGATGCAAATATTTGAAAGTAGATCTTATTGTCTCTGGGCTATATGTAGCTGCATCCTTCAGGGGAGACAGTCAAATCCATAAATTCTGAACTTCTGATTTTATGAATCTCAATAAATATGACAAAACAAGACTATATTTATACCATTTTGGGCACACATTTGAGATGCATATGTTGCACACTGTGAGAGTTATATCAAGGTGAGATATAGTTGCCCCTGGGATGTCAGATTCGGAAGCTAAAATGAAAATTTCAATTAAAAAAGGTGTAATAATTTTTTCTACATCTCATGAATAATATTATGACAAAGCAAAACCATATGCCCCATTTTTGGTATATTTGAGTTGTATATGTTACATAATTTTAGAAGTTATTGAGGGACCTCAGAAGCTAAAATTAAAATTAAATTTTTTTAAATGTATAATCATATTCCTACATCTTATTAGTATAATATTATGACAAAGCAAGAGTACATACACCATTTTGAGTACATTTGAGATACATATGCTCCATATTTTGGAAGTTATTAAGGTGAGATATGGTCACCCCTGGGACGTCAGAAGCCAAAATGAGAATTAATAATTTCTAAAATGTACAATCATTTTTCTACTTCTCATTACTAATATTATGACAAAGCAAGAGTACATACACCATTTTGAGCACATTTGAGATACATATGCTCAATATTTTGGAAGTTATTAAGGTGACATATGGTCACCCCTGGGACGTCAGAAGCCAAAATGAGAATTAATATTTTTTTAAATGTACAATCATTTTCTTAC